AATAAAATTAAAATATTACAGAAATATTTAAGTAGCAAAATATTGATCTTATATTCTATGCTAAAAAATGAAGACAAGATAATATAATTAAATACTAACATTTTAAGTAAAACTTAGAAAAACTTGTAATTTTTTATGGTTACCGATTTAGTTATTATATCATTAAAAGTATAATGAAAACATTTATTTTAATAAATGGATGCCATAACTTTTAGTTGTCCTAGCTATGTATTTGATTAGCAACACATCCTTGCATATCCTTGTGACTTCTATGAAAATGTAGCCAATTTTTGCATCAGTAAATGATAGGAATTTATAATATTTTACACAAGTCAAAGCATATTGTGTAAGTTTTGTCATTTAATCGTTCCATAAATCAAAACTATAACATTTCTTAAACCTAATTTAATCTCAAAAACAAATTACTTCAGCTTCCAGTTTTGTGAATTTTATTAATAGAAGTTAATTAAAGAGCAAAGGACCCAATTATAAAACCATAATGCGGTTTTCAAATACGCCACTATTTCGAGAGTCCAAGTATTCAACGAAGTTTATTGTAATTAATTTGTAGAATTTAATATTCTATTAAGTACAAGATGAAATCCAAAATATTGTCTTCAGTGCACTAAAATAAATGAATTAAATTAAGAAACGAATTTCAAGTGATAAAAAGAGATTTTTTATGTATTTTGCCCTCTCCTTACGAACCCCTAAAGTGTTTTTTGTGTAGTAGTAATTTTTGAAGTTGACAGATTAATTACTTTGCTCATTACTTATTAAAATATTTTGGTTATTTTTTAAAGATTTATTCTTAAATAAGATGTCAGCACTGAAGCGATTTAAGATTATTAAAAAAGTAATATGAACTCTGTTAGAAAACTTTAAAGTGTACAATTATACATAATATATAATACAAAAACATTTGTAAATATATTTTTTTTGTTTTCAATTACGTTAATTGAAGGCATAAAGGATACTTTTCTATCCTTCTAATAAATCCTGAGCATTTGAACCGCACTTTTGAATTGAAGTTTATTTTTATATTAAGCAAGTAAATACTGGAAATAAAGCTTTTTAATTATTGTCTTTTGTGTTGATTAATTATCATTTAGAAAAGTAGAATCACAATAAGCTACACAGAATTAGTTGTGCTTATTAAAAAGTAGTTACTCTAATAACTTTAAAAGAATTCATTTTTAAAATAATCTTATAAAGCTTTTACAGGAGTACTTAACTTGAACGTTATAATCAAATTTAATCCATAGGTTATTAATTAATTGGTATAAGTTTTGCTCGAAGTACGACAACATTGCGACTCGAAGCTATATTTATTTGAAATCAATTAATAATTCAATTTTTTATAAAAAAAATATCATATATATATAGATTTATATATAGGTATATAGATTTAAAGTCATAAGATAAATTTAATATAATTTTGTTAGTTTTTTCATTAATGGACAAATTCCAAAATCTATTATTATTTTAACGGTAAATAGAGGGCTCTGCCCTATTCGTGCTTTGATTGCCAACCCCCGATAAATTTATATGTACTCCTTCATATTCAACAATATGTAGTATGTCATCTTAAAATTTTCCAGAAAATACATTCAATTTTGTGCTAGTTTTGAAGTTCTTAAAAAAAATTTGTTGTCTTTATAGAGAATCCAACTTCAAAGTTGGATTTGGAGAAATGTTCAAGTTAATAAAAAAATTTTAAAAGTTTTTTAGTGAAGCAAAAAAAAAAAAACAAAATTTACAACAATGCTTCTTAAAATACAATAGGGGTGTTTACATTGTTTTGCAAAGTCATGCAAGCTGCACGAAATGCCAAAATGCTATACTTAAACTGCAAGAGTGCGAGAACACCTCTATTGCAGAATTGCAACATCAAAATGAAACAGCTGTTTTTACAACATACCACATCCACATGGGAAGCAACAAAACAGCTGTTTTTTCTCCTTTTTTGTTTCGGTGCAAGCATATATACATAGGTTTTAGTATAGCAAGATTACAAACAATTGCAAGAAACTTTGTGCGTGTATTTTATTGTTTTCCATTGCAAGATCGCACAATCTGGGCCTTTCGTGCACCTTGCAAATTGTTTGCAAGACAAAGTGAATACCCCTAATATGTATTTGTATACATAAAGAGCATGTATGAATTGAATGAACAGTGTGGGCATGATTACGACATAAATGTACGACGGGACATACTACCTTCTTTTTTTTAAACAAAGACACATTTTAACCTTAAGATTTAAACAATCTTTATATCACACCGAACAGTGTGGGCATGATGACGACATAAATGTACGACGGGACATATTACCTTCTTTTTTTTTTAAACAGAGACACATTTTAACCTTAAGATTTAAACAATCTTTATATCAGACTTAATATATGCTGAGTCAATGGATCAGTTTCTTGTGAAAAAAATGAGATTTCTACATACGTAACGAGAATTTATTCCTAAGTGAGTTGCTACAGGCTCTTGTTATGTAGAGTGTCACGGGCACGTCAAAATCAAAATTGTTGTTGATTTCAATGGAAATTAAAAAACTGAGAGTGAAAGAAAAAAATGTCGGTCACTCAGTTAAGACGGTGTTGTATGCATGTATGTATATATTTACTTTAAAATTTAGGCACAACCAAAAATACAAAAGTAATAGTAAAAATATGAAATTGACAAACTGATGTGACACTCTATATAACATGAATTATCGTCATGGCTTGAAAGTGCCAATTTTGGCATGTCCGTGACACTCTACATAACATGGGGTTTAATCAAATTAAATTTCAATTTAAAGAGCCAAACAAATTATAAAACGATGCTAAGTAAATCTAATACTTAATTAATTTTTAATTCATTTTGATTTTAAGTACAAATCTTAGGTTTGTGGTAGAAATGTAATTGTTGCACATTTATTATATTAGTAGACATTGAAGCGAATCAATAAACCGTGAAGTGGATTATGGATATTCTCAGAACAGAAAAGAATGGTTATCTGTTGGTATAAACTTCTTTGACACAGATATTATATATATTACAGAGAAATCTTTTAATTTTATAGAGTTTTAAACGAAAAAATTATTTACGAAGCCATTCATACCTTTCTTTAAGGTTATTTTGGTTGCTGGCATAAAAATTGACTGTCCAGAGTATTAAAAAAATCTGAATCGGCTTGTTCACGTTCTCCATCTTTTACCGGAAATACGTAGCATTAAATTTATACACGAAATTATTAAAAATTGAGTAATTCTCTTCTAATTGTATCATTATACGAACCATAAAGAATATTAAAAACTTCTCTTATGAAAAGGACAAGATGCCCTAAATATATTGATGGTGACTGAAAAACGTTTGAAACAAATGCATATGTTAAAGTATTGCTTACTTTTAAGGAAATGACAATGATAATGGTTTTAAAAAATTACTATTACAAATTGAAAATGCTATAAGAAAACTAACTTCAACTAAAAACTAATATTTATAGTTCCTAGAGCGGTTGGTTAATATTTTGCTTAAAGCTTAAATTTTATGCAATGCTTGAAACAATAATATTTTTAGAATAGCTTATTATTAAATTCTGTGATTAAAACTACCATTCTCAACTCTGATAGGTAATTGAAACAGGTCTTTTTATCATCCTTTCTTACTATAATTTCTTACTATAATCTTACTTAATTAGCCTTTCTTACTGTTTAATAAATTTAACGACAAAAATCAAATACCACAACTGATGATATGATAATGAATAACAATAAAAAATATATAAAGTCATTCGTTCAATGGGTTTAAAACGAAATATTGTTTGAAAATTAATATTTTTATCTACATATTAACTAAAAAATTATTAATAATTAAAAATCACACTGTACTACAAAAATAATGTATTTTTTCCTTTTCCTGAAGTTTAATTTGGGTCTGTTATTTTCAACTTTACAACTCATATTTTTTGCTTAGACATCTGGGTCTCTAACAAAAATGAATTAATTAAAGTTTACAAATTTAAGTTTTAAAGAGTTAATAAAAAAAAGTTTATTTTAAGAGATACGACTTTCATGCTTTCATTAAACTTCCTATAAACATCCTTACCCGAATTCTCTTCTTTTCTTCTCGAAAAGGGTTTTTTGTCAAAATGATTATATTATTAAAAATGATTAAAAAAAGATTTAAAAAAATCATTTTAAGAAATATTTTAAGAATTGCTCTTCTTAACAGGAAAGAAGAGAAATTTGGAAAGGATGTTTAAGATAAAAATATTTATCTTTTTATTTCCAGCAAGGTAACACTACTTTCGTAGTGTATCTCTTAACATATCAATTTTTTATTAACCCTTTAAAACACAATTTTTTGAACATTAATCCGTTGCAGATTTGAGCTCAACAGTTCCAAATTAATAAAACACCACTGAAAATTTAAAAAAGAAAATTTATTGTCGGACAGTGTTATTAATTAATTATTAAAAATAAAAAAATTTAAGCAAGTATTGAGTTTTCAATAATAATAATCTGAGCTGATTTTTATTAATATCATTTTTATTTTATTAAATAAAATTTTTAATTGGAAAACAAGAAAATTTTTACTAAATATGAGATGTTCAAATGTGATAAATATGAGATAAGACAAATGTGATGTGATTTTTTTTAATTTTTCATTAATTTATTTAATTTTAATAAATTTTTCATATAAACTTAAGAGTATTTACTTCAATAAATCCCAGTTACATAAACTTGTGTGTTGGGATCTTTGTTAAATTCATGTGAATAAAATTTGAAAACAAAATTTATGTGAAATTCATTTTTTATTTGAATATCCTTATCAGCAATAAATGAAACTTTGTTAAAATATCAGCATGCAAATAAATTAAAGGCTAACAATGCAAAGGAAATATCCTTTTGCAATGATTGTCGGTAAATCCCTTCTAATTGATTATAGCCAAAGGACACACAAATCTTGGGCAAAACTTGGGTGTTCTTTTCTCAGAAAAGTCTTACCTTTGTTCGACTAGTGCTGAGATTCTTAGTTGACGCTTGAAGCTGATCTGGGTTTCGATAATAATTTTTATTATATTGCGGATGTAGAACATGTTCCCGAGGCGTCAAGTGGTCGTGTGTGTAATTGTGTGGTCGTTTGTGCTGTTGGAACGTTTGTGATTGAAGATGATTTGAGTGATGTTGATGAGATTGTGGCGGTGGTGTTTGCATTATTTCAATTGGATGGTCGCATTGGCAGCGTGAGCGTTGGCGTCCAATCTGAAATCTTTTACTTTTACTAATATTAGGTGGATGTGGTGGCGGCGGAGGTATGTCCACAGGCGTTATAAATGTTTTTGCGCCACTAACATTGCTATTGATGATGTTGTTGCAATTATTTGGTTTATTTTGATTTTGCCAGTAAAAGTCATCCAGTTCGGTATTGTTGTACTCATACGGTAGTGCAGTTGTGTTGCTGTTGTAAATTTGTTGTTGTTGTTGTGGAAGGGGTATATGTAGGACACAATGCTTCTGCTGTTGCTGTTGCTGCTGCTGCTGCTGCTGCTGTTGTTGATGCTGATGCTGCTGTTGTTGATGCTGATGCTGGTGCTGTTGATGCTGATACTGATGTTGGTGCTGTGGCTTAAAATGATGAAAATATTGATGTGTGGCAGGATACTGTGCTCAGCGCAATAATTGTTATTGTTGACAATGCAGCATTCCATTTGAAACAAAAAATATACATTTCGATTGTGGACTAAATGCATTTGGTATCTTTTTTTCATATAATTTATTTTACATTTATCTAAAGCTTAAGTAAGTCGTAGAATTTAAACTTTATATGCTTTTCGTTTCGAAAATATAACAAAGAAAATCATGCAGCGTTCAACTAAAATTACAAAGCAATGCATGATAACAGTGCTAACGAAAAATAATTCAGATAAAAATGTCTTTAATCAATTTTGCTTGAAAAATAATTCAGCTTTTGGTATCCATTCATATAAGTAAAAACAGTTGAACAGAAAATAGTACAAAAATAAAAATATCGAACATGTAGCAATTTTAGTTTCTCAAAGAGATTAAATTTAATAACGCATGCAATCAACATTTTACAATATCAGGACTATTAAGGATAATCATTTTACTTGCAAATTCTGGAATAAATGATATCCATTTGGTAAATTTGTATGCTGAAGTTTCATACGAGTAATTTTAAAATCATATAGAAAGAAATACACATTCCAAATAATAAATATTTTCTTCAAATACTTAAGCAAAAAAATACATATGGAGTTTTCGTTATAAAGTAAAAATAAGCCTAAAAAAATTTTATTTTTAATATTGGAATAGATCTCTTGATTAAGAAGTTTAGACGTAAGAAGTTTATAGACACTTTGATTTTCTTAATAAACTCTTTTTTTTTAAAAAAATTTTTTTTTATTTTTAATATTGGAATAGATCCCTTGATTAAGAAGTTTATACGTAAGAAGTTTATAGACACCTTTTGATTTTCTTAATAAACTCTATTTTTAAAAAAAATTGCAAAAAAAAACTATATTTATACTTTTAAGTTTTGTATTGTTGTTATTTATTTATATGTTTTATTATTAAAAATATATAAAGGTGAGCAAACTTAAAGCTGTCATTACTTAATATTCACTAATTAACATAATGATTAAGTTAATAAGGCAGATCAATTAGGATCAATTAAGTATACTAAGTATAAGTATAGGATCAATTAAGTATTATTTAAATAAAATCTATATTAAATTATTTTATTGTGTTGAATAATGATCAGTTATTAATATGGACAAAGTCTCTAAATTTTTAAATATTAATATTAAATAGTCATAGTTTAGTTAAAAAAAGAAAATAAAGGTCCCATCATTACGACATAAAAAAGAACTACTATATAAATGTCAACAATTAGTAGGCATAATCACCATTAAGATTCGCAAATAGTGAAAAATGATACGTTGCGGTTTTGGATATAAAATTAAGAACCTAGAGATCCAGTTTTGGTTTCTTATGCTAAATAGTAGGGAGTTAAAAGAAGAACCAACAACTTAAATAAAGATGGAATTGTCTTTAGCTGATTATTATATAAATATTAAAAAAGAATCAAAAATTTATAAGATATGACTGTCCACAATAAAAACACAACTACTATTCATAATCATTGAAATAAATAGCCCACAATGTAAAATCAGGACATACGCGGACATACGCGGAACATGTAAAATTACTGGGTGAACCGAATAAAACGAAACTTAAGCTGACGATATATAATATGAAGAATGCTGGATCATATAACACGTAAAGGTGAAATGGAATGAAAATCTTATATATCAAATAATTAATTAAATATGATTATCAAATATCGGTGTAAATAACTAAATATGAATTACAAATCTATATCATTGGGTTCAAAAATTCCATAATTAAAAAGACAAAGACGCATCAAATACCGTCTTAGACTGTGAAATCACTTTTAGTGTAATTTTCACTTGTATATGTATAACACTCGAGATTAATTTATAACACTCTAGATATTTACCCAGAGTAGAAAGATTGCTCTACAATTAATAGCTGTTCTGTATGGCTTGACAAATAAGGTGTGGTTTGATTCGATATATGTATGTATTAATGAAAAGTATAAATGCCTACTAACACTACTACAAACATTTTAGATGGATTTGATTTTAGATTGAAATTTTGTTTGGGCGACAAAAATTGGCAGGTCGAGAATAAATCTAAATTAAATTCAGATTTTTCTATCAAAAAGCCATAAATATCCTTACTTATGATTATGTAATTTTTTTTATAAAATATCATTAATATAAAATAAAATTTCCCATAATTAAATAATAGGGATTTACTGACATGGATCGGCTTTTGTAATGTAAATATGTAAAAAATGTAACAAATCTAAATTTAAATTATATGATTTTTAATATAGTTTAATTGAGTCTTATTTGACGTAACCAAAATTCAGTGTTATGGATTTTGTGCTAGTGTTAGTTCTAAAAATTCTATGCCATACTTCTGCTTTGTGGTCTTTAACATTATGTTTGAGAGAGATTTCAGCAAACGCCAAAATATTGAGTTGCTCATATATTTAGATAATAATATGATATTGTGTTGAACCCTATCTAAACCCTATCTCATACAGAAAGAAATTGGAGTAGCAAAAATATCAGATTATGATACCGGACACTGTAACTGAAAGTCTAATTTGAGAACATATCAAATGGAACATTTGTATACATTAAGTTTAAATAAATAAAAGATTGATGTCATCGTCCTTCAACTAATATATTCGTTAGAGGTAAATGTTGCAAAGTCCTCTTAGCGTTAAGCACAAATAAGGTTTAAATTATGATAATAATTGATATAGGTACGAAATACAATTTTTCATTTCTTAAAAAATCTGGATAATGATAATGCTAATGATTACATATGCATATAAGACATAACAATACAGTTACTCTTCAAGTGTGAACATAACAAGAGGCACAGGGCTAAAAATTTCTATGTATCCTTTTATATGTTAAAAAATAAATGACTTATTTTATTTATAACACAAATCATTTTGCAAATTTAATTTTCAACTGCGTGAATCCAACAGATTTTCAGGTGTTCCAACACACATGGCCGGTGTGGCCTTCTAAACTTATCAGTCTACTAGAAGTCTCTCTCTCATAACATAAAATTAAAAAATAAATTTCTGTGATGACCATTATTAAGGATATTTTGATATTGATAAGAGGTAGAAATGACAAGTAAACATACATACTTCTGTTTCAAAATATAAATTGAAGCATTTACTCTTATTAAAGCTAAATTAAAAATTTTTTTAATAATAATAAATTAAATTAAATTTCGGAGTAAAGTCTATAAATAGCTAACGAACGAAAGAGATGTTTTTATTTTATTAGAAATTTTATTATGTTTTTTTAAGTAAAGATTTGTATACAAAAATAAAAGACAATAGTTTAATCACAATGTTTTTCATAAAAAAAGAAATGGAAATAAAACTGAAGTCAAGTAAATTAAATTGTTTGTTTTTGCATATTTTAAATAATTTTAATAAAAATCTGATTTTTTAAAATGGAACAAATCAAAAGCAAGCAAATTGTAAAGTGACTGCTTCGTACGGAAAAATTGTCCTTCAACTTTTGACACCGTCAGATGTAGAGTACAAATATTGGTCACAAGTGATGGTGGCTTGGGTATTCGGTTTCTTTACAATGTTCCAATTTTTGTCTGAAAATCGCTAATGATAATCAAATAAATGAAATGCGGAAAGAAAACGAAACCCGGAAAATGTATCACACAAAAGGACGAATTCGTTAGCCCATTTGGCACTGCACCAAAATCTAATTCATGTGAAAATGTGGGCATATGTGATTCTTTGTAGATATTGCATCGATATGGAATGTGCATATGTAAACTGGTAATAATAATATCTTAAAGTACAAAAAAATTTTAATTTTACTGTAAACCAAAAAAAAACCTTCAAAAATAAAATGGCATTATAGCACAACGGGCTTATAGGAAGGACTATTATGAGTAAGAGGATATTAATTTGACTTTTATATACACTTAAATGTAGCAAATAATAGGATTAGGAAACCATTTGATTTCCATAATAGCACAAATAGTTTTCAATGAAGTGTAAATATTTCATAAGTGAAGGTTTTTATGGTCAGTCATATTGACTTGGAAGGATAAATAAATTTATGTAATTTATATGACAATTTGCAGTGAAATGTATTTCAGAGATAATTTAAAACTATATGGTAGTTATATTAAAATAACTTACTACAGAATATAAGGAAACAATGTATAAGAATCATAGTATATGATTTGTCAAAAAATGGCTGAGTTTTATTATATAAAAATAATGAATTTATTATATCGGATGTTTTTTTAGCTGCATGAAAACTGAAAATGATAGTACAAGACAGAAATATTGTTGGTATGAAATTAATATAGTTTAATATAGTTTCGTAAAAAGGATATAAAGTTGTTAACAAGTTGGTTTTGCAATAAATCGATTGTTAAGCGCGCTGTATACCTAGTTCCGCCATTTTTATTCTTGCTGGAAACAAACGTTGTAGATGTTTAACTGAATAATTTTTGAAAACAAAAATGCAGTCAAAATGACTTGATAACTCTCTTTATTCACCGTAACGTCAGCTCCTTTCGAAAGAAATCAGGAAGATTAATGTCTCCAGCGTGTAACCGCATCAAACAGTCAATTGTTGATGGTTTTGAATCGATAAGAGTAAAATTAGTGCAAAAATGATCAATAACTGCATGAATTGCTTGTTCACTAGGCCGATTATGTTGACCGTAAAATTGACAAAGTACCCTATAGACATCGCGAAAAAATTTATTTTATTCAAAGCAAGTTTTCACAATTTGGAAGCGCTGTTCTGATGTTAAACAATTCATAATGAATTACCAAATGTTACAGAATAGAAATGTCAGCTGGCAAACCATAGTTATCGATATCGATAGTTCTCATGAAGCTAAAAAAACACCCGATATATAAGATTTTTTAAAAATATTAAATAAATTAAAATATTTGAATAGAATTTATGAACTAAATTTTTTAACTAAAGCAAGGAAATGTTATTTTACTTATAAGCACAGTAATAAAGAAACGTTTTTAACAATTAAATATTTTCAATTTTACATGCTTCAATGTTAAAGTGCAAAACTAAAAAATTCAATTTTAACAAATTAAACTAACTCAAACGTTATTTCAAAATATTTATTATTATAAATTTTGGTTTTGTAGGGACACGTACCTGGTCAGGTTGTGCTGTCTCAGCTGCCGACATGCCATTTCCAGACATTGTTGTGACTACACAAAACGGTGATGTGTTTTTTGATTAATTTCAGATTAGTTATTAGTCCAAACAAAAAAAAATATATATTTCACAGCGAATATTATTACTATAATTTGAGGCTTAGCATAATACGACAGATTAGTTACGCCGAATAATTTTGTATAAGCAGTAGCTGAAAAGGAAGTAAGTTATAGTTTTAAATATATAATTTGTTTATAATGATTAAAGTTGCCTTTTAATCTTATTTGACCAAACGCTAATACATTTTAACCTGTTCTTCGTTGCTGAAAATTAAGTTTTTGTGAAAATGTACATCAACTCATTTTAATTAAATTGTTCAATTCACACCAAAGCAATGGCTTTATGATAGCACAATAACATTTTGCTCAGCTTTACTGCATTGTAATTATGTTTCTCTTAAGCGTTGGGCACCCCCTAAATGGGCGGTTTATGTACTTAATTTGAGTATATATTTTAATATCATTGCAGCGTGGAGTTGCCCACTTTTTGCCGTTTTCATTGCCTTGTTATCGCCACTGTTAGCTGCATTGCCAATGTCAGTGCTCTGGCAGTGAATGGTGAAACGAAGTATGTATATATGAAAATTTGACAACATGCCAAGCTTCATTAACAACCTCAATGAAACTTTATAAAACCTGGGATAAAAATGCATGTAAACACCAAAAGGACATGAAACTTATCAGTGCAACTAATTGTTTTGCATTTTTTCCCCACTGATTCTCTTTAACACTACCTTGGCATTTTTAACTTTTACTCAACGAATTTATTTCTACAATATTGACGGAAAGTCAATCTATAAATTCCTTAACATAATACCCAATTTACATTTCTTTAAAGATTTGTTTCAATAGAGATTTTTTCCTCTGAACCGAATCTTATTGAAATAGCGACAATGCAAAATAGCTCAGCGTGACTTCTTTCATAGAAAGATTTTTCTGAGCTAAAATATTATTTACATATATTTGAGATACATGCTGATATTGTAATATTGAATAGGGAATTTGAAAAATTATACAGAAGCATTTATTTATGCATTTCAAAAATACAAAATATTATTTACAAATATAAAAATAATTCAGGTTTTTTATATTAAAAGAAACTTTTTGTATTAAGGAAATGTATTTCTATATAAATTATTATATTAATAAGAAATATGTAAGGCGAATATATTATTATATGGTTAGGTTAGGTTAGGTTGGAGTAGCGGCTTTCAAAACCAAAGGCCAATTGAACACAAATAATGGCCAGTTGCGATATTATGAAAAGAAGCATTACTTTTATGCTACATCGCGATAGCCATCAAAACAGGTATAAGGACCAATACGGTCTGCTTTGACAACATTGAAAAGAACAGACACGACTCAACATTTAACTAAAAGTGAAACAATTTGACAAGTCAATAAATTTGGCTACATCTCAATTCTCATTTTAAAAGATGAAGATGATTCTTTTGATCAAAAATAGGCACTAACACATAAAACCAAATACCAATCATTATAGGATAGATCAAATTTTATTATATGTAATATAATGAAATTAATACGCAGTGAGCTATCAGTTCCGATAACGTTGTGCTGAGTAGATTCCCCTTTGGCAATAACTGCTGACTGATACGTTTCTTGTCTAAATTGGATCAAGTAAAGTTTGTATTCTGACAAGAATCTTTATCTACGTAGATTTTTTAAACTATTGTTAAAATTTTTTATATAAAATTGTTAATATTTATATTAATATACATATTTCGTATTGATATATACGGTAGTAACTTTTTTCATTTAGTTTACGTTCTTTAAAAACTTTCTAAAAATTAAAACTCAAATTTAAATCTATACTATAGGAGCAACTGAGCCCCAAGATTTCAAATTAAATCAGTAGGAACAAACTGTGATTAATTAGGATCGACTATAATTCTATAAAATTTTATTGCATACAATTACTTAAATGTATATTTCTCTGAACGTCTGCAATTATCAAAACAAATACGCAAACATTTTGAAGGAAATCTATATTAAAATAAACAGCACACACAAATCCATATACGGCGTGCAGTACTTATTGAGGAAATATGGTATACCAAACATATTAAGAATTATAAACAAAATTAACCTTACTGTATATAATTGGTTGACAATTTATCAAATAAAAAGGTTTCTATTTATAACGAAAACCGATAGGCTGACCTACTTAGCACTATGTAATTTCATAATAATCTCTAGCAGCAGATCTTAGATCAGCCATCGAATAATCATGAAGCTTTTGTGGAATATATAAATTATTTAGTGAGAAGGGTAGGACTCTGCAGAAACCCGCCAGCTATCAAAGAGTAAAAGTGCTCAGATTCACTAACTTGAAAAAGACTCAACATGAACATGAACTTGAAGTATACTTCTTTTAATTGTAAGATTACGGCTTTCAACCTAATTTGAAAATTTTTTTCTATATTATTTCAAAAATATTTTATATTGTCAGATGAACTATATCGTTCTTTAATTACAGGAGTGCAGCAAAACAAAGAAGAAGATTCCAAGTCAGTAACGAAACTTTTTAATAATGAAATAGGGAAAGAATATATATAATATATATTTTCCATCGTCCAAACAATACTTCAGTATTGAAAATCTAAGAGATATTTTCTTTGCACTTCTGCAAATATCACACTTACAACTATGTATAAGTATATTTATTTAAATATTTTGCGTTGATAAACACATTTTATGGTTCATGTTTTAACTCTGATTTAACTCTGATCAACTCTGATTTTGCTTTGACGAGAGATAAATAAAAGTAGCAATCGCTGACTATTATTGTTAAAAGTTATAGGAAAGTAGTACCTTTCAGATCAACAGAAATTGGGCTAATAATTTTTGAAAAGCCAGATTAATGCGATAACACCAAATATAGAAACCCTGATTTTATTCATAGAAAGAAATCAAAAGTACCTCAGATATTATCGGTTATAATGGAACTGCAGATTCGTAGAAGGCATGTAGCCAGACTGGATCTGCCCTGTTGAGTTTTTTGTAGTACCTGTCTACCGGCTCTCGAAATGAAGACATGCTTGTTGTGTATTACACATAATCAAAGATTGCAATTAATTTGTACTTTTCATTGTATTTAATATAATATTTAATATTTAATTTTAATAAATTTTTCGGACATATATTTATGAATTTACCCGAACACTTGGAACAAAAAATATTTGAGTCTATGGGTTTCATACACTGATCGTATGAAATAGATCAGTCATATCTATCATAGATTGTATGATAGATTTTTGATATCAATATTTTTTTCGTGTCTTGTATGTGAAAACCCCCTGCACATTCAGACAAAATAAATGTCTCATAAATTATGATATGCACTTTTGTCGGTTTCACGCTTTCACTTTGATCATATTACTTAAAGTGAACATATTGACTCATGCTTTTACATATAGGTATAACTTAAGAAATGAGGAAATGTCTGGCATGTGTAGTCGTTGCACTAAAAAACCCCAAATTCCAAAAAGGAAGAGTAATATAAGTAATATAAGTATTCTTCTTAAATATGTTTTATTAAATATGTTAGAATAGTAAAAGTAGAATTTAATATATTAAAGTGTATTATTTAGTAATAATAAGGAAGTAGTCACTCATAGAAATGGTTACCCATAGTAAATAAGACATTATAAATTATTGTTAGTATATAAATAAAAAATGGTGTAATATCAAGAGTTTTTAATAATAATTCAGATTCAATTATATCTAAGAAAGAAATGTCTGTTCGTTTTTTCTTTTGAATCGTGTTTTATCCAGCATTTAGATGCTAAAAGAATATTAAGGGGCTGGAGAGCTTAGACTTAAATTTAAAAATCCTTATACCACTCTTTGAGGTCGATTCATATACTCTTATGTATAACAAAACTTAGTTGAAGCGAAATGAAATATTAACTTTACAAGGATTCTTCTTCTACAAGTTTATGCTCAACATCTTACCTCCTACCAAATTCAAAATTTATGTTTTAATTATTGATACTGCGGGTTTAATATTAATCCTTTATTATTTAATATTAATAAAATTCTTCGTTATTTCCGGTTTTTATTAATTCTTTAAAGTTGGCTTAATGTGCTGTATGTAGTAAATATTTGACTTAAACTTAATACGAATAACACGATATTTATAAGCAATATCAGTTCTTTTTAAAAAGATTATGTGAATAATTCAATTTCAGATGAAAAACTATAAATATGGAATAATATCTCGTGCGGAAGTTTCTATTAGTAGCTTAATTTAATTTAATTCTGTTTTAATTAACTGTTAACAAATTTATTAAAATAATGAATGTGCTAGCAAAAATAATATTCTAAAAAATGTTTAAATAGTGGAAAGCAGTGAATTACTGTAGATGTGAGAAGAACTTTAAAGTGCATAGAAATGCTCCGTTCGTTGCTGTTCAGCGACGTTCTAACGATGTTTTAATGCAAGCAAATATTTTATGAAATTTTTTGGTATCCAAATTTAAAATTAGTTTTAGGCACGTGCATCGACGTTGTGTGAACAATTTTTTATTCACAGCAAACAATGCTTTTTAGACAACAATTTTCACACATGCTTCTTCTTTCATTTTTAGCTTTCATTTTAGTGGGTCTATTGAGGTAGGTGTCGTACTTATCTGCTGGATTTTATAATTAAAATAGTTTTGAAAATTAGCTTCTGCATTACTTGGTGCAAAATGCATAGCTATAATTATTTAAAATTTAAAAAATTTTGTTTTTTTATTAAAGAAAATATTGGTTATCTTTATTATGTAAAATCATATTAAAATAAATGATTCAGTTTCTTATTAATAATTCGTGAGCATTATTAAAAATATTTGCTAATATTACATCAAAAGTCAAAATAAAAAATTAAAAAAAATAAAATAATATGTATTTATATGTTAACACTTTAGTCGTTTTCTTTTTTGAGGATCCTGAGGACTTCAAGACGTCCCTCTGAAAAGTTCATAAGCTTTGCCAGAGAATCTAAATAGTTTTAACCCTTGGGTTTTTAATAATACCGTAGCACAATAAGCCTATAGGTCTAAGTGGATCCCTAACCTATGTGTGTTCGAATTTTTGTACGATTTCTATTGAGTAAATTAGAAATTTTAAAAATAAACATGAA